TGTGTGTGTGTGTGTGTGTGCATATCCCCAGGAGCACTAGCAGATGATGTAATCATGATCATAAACACACAGTGCAGGTACCAGCACTCCATCATGATGTCACTGTGAGGTCACAACTGAGGTTTATATTCTTACAGGGATACTTCACCTGAAAATGAAAGTTCCCTCCTTATCTACCCACCACTATGCTGATGGAGGGGTGGGTGAAGTGTGTCAGGGGTAAATGAATCCAATAGGGGACCGCTTCTTCTTGGTGTCATCCAAGAGTCTGTAAGCCCTAACGTTCATATTCGAAATGGCGTCATTTACCGCCAGCAGTATGGAGGCTTTTAACTTATTTTTAACTTTGAGGAAGTGTTTGATTTTAATTGTATTGCAATTTGCTGAAATGCTGTTTACCCCTGAAACTCCAAAAGTGTTTTGCGGACTCAAACGCTTCACCTGCCCCTTCATCGGCATAGTGGTGAGTAGATAATGAGGGAACTTTCATTTTTGGGTGAACTATCCCTTTAATATCACTCAGGAAATATCATGGGGTTTTTACTGACACAATGTCAAAGAGTGCCAAGAAGTCCGCTCTTTTAAAATGATCACATTTAAGAATAACCAAAAATAAAAATAAAAAGCAGTAGTAACTGTAGGCCTTCTGCTGCACCAGCAGAAATACACTGCACCTGGTGGAAAACACTGTCAGCAAGGTACTGTCCTATAACAAATGAGTGAATGGTTATCATTTTACATTGACAGGAGTCTTTTTAAAGTATTGCACGCCTGGCCTTGAATCTTTTTGGAATACATTATTGTCAAAATAAACACTTCTTTTATTCTGCCATACTTACAGCAACAGGTTCATTCTGTTGATTTTGATGTTTATAAAACACTATGTTTGCAAAATAACTGTTTTAATGTGTTTAAATACATCTCTACAGTGACCAGTTAAAAATGGAGGAGGGCGACACCTTGTGGTGATTCGGTTACGATACATCCAAGCCTGGATGTGAATCTGACACATTTTTCACACACATTTCTATCGTAACATTTAATTAAGATTTTTTAACTTCCTATAATGTAACAATCACACATGCTATTTAATGACGTTCAAAATATTTGCACATTTTCCATCTACTTGTAAAGTTCTCCCAAGTTTGGACTCTCTTTTCCTCCCAGTATAAATCTGATTTATATTTGACCGAGACACAAATGTCACATACGGCAAAACAGAATGTTGGTTTACAAGTATTTTATTTTTAACATTTCAATGTTTGCAGCCTTGATGCAATATTCAAAATCATCTGTAGATGTAAGCACCTCCATATCCAATCAATGGAAACAGTCCATCATAATGCTTTTTATGCATCTCTCATGTTCCTCACTGATTTCTACGAAACATCACTACCGTGGCAATGCATACACTCTCACAGGCAAATAAACAACGTGGTAAATACTTTTCAAGTGCTTTTCAAAGAGGCTAAAAGTTCTGCTGTATCACACTGAGGTATTTGGCTTTTAATTACTCTCAAGGCCTGCAGGCCAATATGTTATACTCCTACATAAACCATGGGCTGTCAGTGTAATAGACTTCCAGAAMCATTTAAGCTACACCTYGGGCTCTGCTGCTTGATCTCCATGAGTCTCTTCYCCAGTTTTTCTGCCATGGAGTTGAGGTTTGAGGCCTTCAGCATCTGTGGTAGTTTTCTCAGCTGCTCTTCTGGTGCCTGGGCCAGCCACCCTCTGATCAGAAGCAGAAGAGGGCCTCTCTGCCTGGGGACCGACTTGACGATGTACCTGTGAAATGGAGATTTAGTCGGTTTAGTGGGTGAACAGAGGCAAGAGAAGAAGGTATAGAGATGAATGCATAGTCTCACCTGGKGWYGAATCTCTTCATCTTTTCCACACGCATCCTGTGCATTGAGAAGAAGCCCGAGAGGAAAGTCCTGAGTGTCTCACCTGAGAAACAYGTTTGTATCATGTGAGTATGAAAATGTAACTTTTRTTGGAATARTTTCAAACATCTAGAACAACTTGCACAAAGTACACACCTCCATTTGCAAGCTCCTCGCAGGTGCCGCACATCGAGTCGTGGTAAACTGAGCCGGGGAGCAGCAMAATCTGTCCACRTGCACATTTCTGATGTCTTACGCATGTTTCCAGAGCAGAAGATGAGTTGGAGAAGTAGCCATCGGAACACGGTTCACAAACAGTGTTCTGCTGGGACGTACCTGAAATAAGACACAGAGCATTTTGGGTTCACTCGCATGTTTTAAGCTGCCCCTGTATTTGATCACATGTATTTCTGCAGAGATTCTGTGCATCTTGTGGATTTCTACTTTATCCTTAAAATTGTTTTGGGCTGSTARGTCTGTAATACATTGAGTAACCGATGCATTGAATATTGGAGTATCCTCTGCTGTTTCTTAACTTCTACAGATTTACAAATGTGGACAAGTACATGATGAGTAGACAGGCCTGTGCCCTTCTGCCCCCTGACTAAATATTTGCCATTTATTCTAAAACTTTTTTAAATGTCTTTTTTGAACTAATATGTGTTTTTAAATCTGGCCTACTAATAATGGCATAATGGCATCAATTCTCAGTTACAATGCCCAACAACTGCATTTGATCTCTAATTCTGCCTGTAAGACTGTAAATAGGCGACTATATCTACTCACTATATCTAAATGTAGAAATAGTGGAATAAACACGTTCTTCTCTGTGTGACATAATCAGTTTAGAGATCTGACACTGAATATTAAACACGCTAACGTGTGAACATCTAACCAGAAGATATACTGCTGCATGAAACTTTCCCCTGAGCACCTGGAATGTCATGCACATACACAAACGCCCTGCACATAGCGAAAACGAAAACGGATATGTTTGACTCGGTGGTTTTGTTAATGTGCAGCGCGTGGAGCTCTCTCKGCCACTGCACCGATCGTACCTTTGGTTTGAACACCAGTCCCGGGCTCGCACTCCGAGTGTTGCACACAGAAGTYAYTGGCCCAGTAGAAGCCCTCCTTGCACCGACACACCCGGTTGCTGACCGGCGAGCACTCGGTCTCCACCTCCAGGTTGTCGGTGCAGAAGTTGTCGCAGTACAGACACCGGGACAGATGGTTCCACAGCTTGGTGAAGTGCTCCTTCCTGCACGGCGCGCACTGGGTGGGTGTGGAGGCGGTGCAGCGCGCGGTCATGTGGGTGCCAGGTGGACACATGGTGCACGTCAGGTCCTCCCCGGTCACAGGGCTCCGGTACTGGAAGGTGTGGAGGGGTTCGACCGGGACAGCGGAGAGAACACCGGAGAGCAGGAGGAGCTGGAAGAAGATCTGAGGAGAGGACCATGGTCACTGCTACTGCAAGTATTAAAACTTCTACTACTAGTATACTACTACTACTACTACTGCTACTACTACTACTACTACTGCTACTACTACTACTTCCACTTCTACCACTACTACTATTGCTACTACTACTGCCACTTCTACCACTACTACTACTACTACTACTACTACTACTACTACCACCTATTAAATCTAGATTTAAATAAATACAATGTGCCTTYAAAGGTCCAGTGAGTAAAATTAAGGTGAAAAGGCAAAAAGTTAATATAAATTATTGGCAGAAACTTAAAAAAACTTAATATAAATGAATCCTAGTGATTCTATAACAAGTTTCATCTAAATGTATCGAATTGTTGTTTTCTTTACCCTAGAAATATCCTTTATATTTAAATTCCTTATATTTACACACATGGGTCCTCAGAGGCCGCCATGTTTTCTACAGTAGTCCAGACTGGACAAACCAAACACCCTTTGAGTTAACTGTAGACTACCACAGGTTCTCTTTCATGTTTGGATCATGAATCTAATATCAAGTCATTCCAATCAATGGTGGTATCACACTGTGAATGATAAAATCTAACCATGTGATCAAATATGCTACAGTTCACCTTCTCACATGTGTACACACTGTATTTGGCTCAGACTTCTTTATATGTTCAGTTCTACTGTAACTATATCTTTCATGGCAGTTTCAGGTAAATCGCAGCAATATGGTGCAAATAAGGAATAAGTCTTTAATTTAGGGGAATTTGCCAATAGATCTAAATCACTGTATTATTAAAGTACTAACTTAGGCAGACAGACAGTTTGACTGCGGCCTCRGCAYTTWACTTATAAAYGATGTTTACAATTGTTATCAAGCTATAATAAGTATTCTCACATTTCTGTCACTTTCAGAYATTYAC